TGAGATAAAGTTGCCTGTCCAGCCCGGAGGGGGGTTGCGGCTTGGAGGAGATGGTTTTCAGTATCCTGAGGATAGAAGCACGGATAGGTGCCCTCCCCCAAACGATAATGAAACATAGTTCAATCAGTGCGTGGCCTAGGAGCCGAGTTAGACAGGAGGTGTTTTACCACCTCCCGGCCCGCAAAGGGACCCAAGCACTGACTCGAAGCGGGTTAACTGGTCGACAAAAGCAATGGTAAGTGCTTACAAAGTAATATAAAGGCAGCATATTTACGTCTGGACAACGAGTTGCGTTGGAGAAAGGCATGGGTCGGGTGGGCTACCATTTATATATTTTTCTTTCTAGTTAAAAAAAAAAAATCATAGTGTCGGGGCTGTGACGAAAAATAAATGGCCTAAATCCGATGAGAAAACAGGATTTGGGGGTACCCTAGGTTTGGCTCCAGCATGAGTTGGCCCCCCCCAAAACGCAAGCCTGGATCCGCCAGTGCATGTTTTATGGTCCATTTTACAGGACAAATGCAATTATGTGGGTCCGGCAACCTTTGGGGACAGTAAGGATATGTTCTGGTGAAGGTCAGGTCAAAGTCAGGTCAAATAAGGCCAATTTTCGATTTTAACACGCGCCCCACTGGGGTCTGCGTATAACACGCCCTACGGGGGGGGGGCTCTTCATAGCCCCCCTCCTAACTCGGAAACTACTGGGCCGATCGTCAAAATTCAAACGGCGTCTGATAGCCCCGGAAAAACTGTCGAGCGAAACCTAATTTCATTTGATGAAGTCACAGGTCAGGTCAAAGTAAAAATTATTGGCATTTTGGCTTGTTCACATTTTGGGCTCTGGCCGCCGTCTTACAAGTCAAATCAGGCTCTTTTGTTTACACACTCGTGAACAGATGCTTTACCCTCGCATGTGTGCGGCGTTTGCCAGCTTCTATTGTGTAGGGGGGGGGGGGGGTCGGTTGGACCCCCCCCCCCTTGCCGTTTGGCCCCTGATCGAGCTAGAGCTTCGCGGAAAAAAACGAGCGTGTTGCCCGTGACGAGAGGAAGCCGATGATACCCAATTTTAAGGTCCTAGGTCATTGGGTGACCTTCCAGGTCAGGTCAATGACCCAAAGTCGGGAAAGTCGGGACCTGTTAGAAAGTCGTAAAGTGTGGCTGCTAAGGGGTTTTTCGGGGTGCTGATCACGAATATCGTGTTAGTTTTGATCACAGATGATGTCTTTAAGCATTTAGACCAGGTCGGGGTCAGGACAGGTCAGGTCAACCAGTAGGCATCGTGACGGGTATTCGTAGTACGTGTCAACCGCCTCGGACAGCTTCGTAACATGTTACGAAGGCACCAAAACTGCTTCGTAAATGTTCAAATGGTTGCTAAATTCGAATTCAGCTCCAAAAACTAGCCTAGAAACATGTACAGCTCGAAAAAGTGAGCCGAGGTCACCCGAGGTCACCAAAGGTCAATGACCTGACCTGACCTTCAGGTGACCTTGACACCCACCCTAATGCATGGAAGCAACATCAAATCACATGTTTGAACGTTTGAAACCACGAAAAGCTTGCAAACGCGCGGCTAATGCGAGCCGACATACGCAGAATCGCGATTCCGGCCAAACATGGTCTCGGAGAAGCGGTCACAGGTCAAAGGTCATTTGGGTCAGGGTCATGAAATTTTCAGGGTAGGTGTAAAATTGATCAATGTGAGGGTACTGAAAGTTTCGTCGCGATCGGCCGCTATTTACGCGAGTTATTCGCGAAAAACCATAGGGGGGGGGGTCCATCCGACCCCCCCTACACATGCGAGGGTTAGATGCCCTGAGGGTACCAAACTTGTATTTTGATTTTCAGGTCAGGGTCAGGTCATCCTAGGTCACGGAAATATTATATCATGCGTCAGTCACGTGACACATGTTTTATGGTCCATTTAGGCCATAGATTTCGAATTTGATGTCGTTTGTGTCATTCGAGGTCATTTTGAGCTGAATTTAGCTTAAATCAGGTCACTTTCAGGTCAAAAAAGGACAAATTTTGAAGTTGAAAATTTTCACAAAAAAGGTGTCTATCGGATGCAGTTTGAGCTTAGAAACACGATGGTGCTATTTTTATTGGTGTACGATGTCAAAAACGTACTGAAAAATTGATTTGAAAAATTAATAATTGTGAATTTTTTGCAATAATGCGTATAACTTGGCCATTTTTGAAGATATTTAGCTAAAACTTGCTAGAGTAAGTCATAGACTACGTTTCCATGGGCAAGGGGATTCGTATCCGGATCAGTGAAGCCGCTACTGATCCGGATGACTGGGGCCGTTTCCATGGGCAAAGCAAGGCAAAGCCGGTACTGATCCGGATCAGTGAAATAAGAGCTCAGCCGCTACTGATCGGCTTAGGAGGGACGAGTATGGCGCACTTTGGCAATTAATAAAAACTCCAGCTAACATTTTTGCCTGGTCTTGTGCAAAAATCGACTAGGATATTCCGTCCTGAAGATTGGCTTTCTTTTATCATACCGATAGCAAACTCGGCTATTGGGAAAATTTTCCAAACTCTCTACAATAACTAATTTTTCAGTTCGATTCATGTTAAAAAATAAAAACAAATAAATTTACATAGCAATTTGTGCGTCTTTCATTACTTCAGAAAACGTTTCGGGCGACCCCGAGTTTCGAACCCGAGACCTTTGGCTCAAAAAGCGAAAATCATACCGCTGCGCCACCGCGGCACTCTGCAACCGTCGTCCTAAACTTATATGTCAAAATAGTTGACAGGCAAATGATGCAACATCGAGAAAGTCTACATTTGTGCTGTAAGGGATTACATGGGTAATGAAAAAATGCTGGAAAAGTTTGCAAAATTGATTTGCCATCTAACACCAACAAATAGATTAAGAATATTGGCACAATAGATCTTAGCAAGATAACTGATGGTTGGATGCTGTTGCGCAACGGAATGCATGACACCGTGCAGGAGGAATGCACAAACAAATATCTCCAATGGTTTACCTAAATCTATAATAATATAGCCCAAATTTTGAAACATATCATTTTAGTAATAGTATAATTTAAATAAAATATTTCTAATGTGATATATGCATCCAGGCCCATTAAAACAATTAACATGAAAATAAGAAAATTAAAAAGTCAAACATTAATCCCTATCGTAACGGCTCAGCTTCTTTCGAAGCTGGATTAGAATCCGGATCAGCGGTAAGGGATTACGGGTGTTTCCATGGGCAGCCTAATCCCTTACGAGGCACTGATCCGGATCAGTGATGCCCATGGAAACGGGGTCATAAGCATGTGTTCTATCACATATATTCCTTTTTTTCGAAAAGTCAAAAAGTTTTTGAAAAAATATAGATTATAATTTTTGAATTTTATTATATATAATTTTCAAAAATTTCAAAATTTGAAAATCCGAGATAGCAGTTTGATAGCGCAGTCTATTCTGAGTCCTATCATGCAAAGAAATTGGATCTAGTTTAAAAACTGAGCTCTTGGGAGCGATTGCCGTGGTTCAATGTTTTGCGTCGAAATCGGCCGAACATGACGTCACTCTGACGTCATTTCCGGCCGACCTATGGTAGCTACGAAGTCCTATCTTGACACAAGGTGTCAAATTGATGCAGCCGAAGGTACTGAAAGTTTGGCGTCGATACGTCAAGCGGTTTGGAAGTTATTGCAGAAAAACGGGAGGGGGGGGGCTATGAATAGCCCCCCCCCCCAGTGGGGCGCGGGTTAATATTTTTGCATAAAATGGGCATCGATTCGATGAAGCTCGTCACGGGGAGTCTAATGATTGACTTTGTTTTGCGCTATGTGGTGAATTGCTAAAAATTGAGTTCGAAAATTTGACGTCATCAATTTTGAACATTTTTTTTTTTTGCTTTAACTTCGCCAGCCAATAAGGAAGGGATCGATCTAACATTTGGTATGTAGATAGAAGAGAGAGAGACTATCATATATATTCCGGTTGTTTCGAAATAAGAAAAGTTTTGGGATTTTTTTGCTTTTTTATAAAAAATCTAATTGTTGATTTTTTTAGGGTAAAAATAACAAAATTTTGAAAATCCGAGATTGCTGTTTTGTTGCGCCGCTTTTTGTCTACATGACAATATAAAAAACTTTCAAATTGCTTGGTAACTGTAGATTTGGTGAGCGTTTCAAGATTGCATGTTTTTTTTGCTCATTTTTGCTAGATTATGACCTTAGTTTGACCTCAATAACTCCTGACCTAAGATGACCTATGACTTGAAATTTTGTATGAGCTGGTGTCAAATTGATGTCTCAAAAGGTACGGAAAATTTGGCGGCACTGAGCGCCGCCGTTTTTAGCTATTCAAGAAAAACAACAAGAGGGGGGGCAGAATGCCCCCTCCATCAGGACGCGGGTTTATACAGATATCATAACATTTTGGTATGAATTATAGGGCATCATAGACTAGCTTCGGCAAATTTACCAGACACATGCAACGTCACTTAAAAGCATGATTACTGACATTAGAAAGCCTGTGTTCCTTACGAAGTGCAAACGATAATAAACATTTCAAGAAAATGTGGTGATGAAGCCATACGCAAGTACAAATCACACAAGACACTAAAGACTGTGCGTGGCTGCAGCGCAGCAGCGGACTTCACGTATACGCGGCGCACACAGAGTATGTACATTGCACATCACATCCAGTGCCACTAGAGCGGCTCGGCCGCCGCCGGGCTGGAGGCGAGCAGAGAGGTCGGGTCGGCGGCGGAGAGACGGGGCCCCGCCGCCGGCCGGCCGGCCGCAGACGCACACACCCGGCCGTCCCGTGAGCTCTGGGCAGTAAGCAGCCCGCCGTCCGGCGCACAGCCGTCGGCCCGTCGGTCGGTCCGGCTGGCTGGCCGCCGGGGCTCGTCAGTCCGCCACCGGCGCGAGCATGCGAAAAGGATGACCGGGCGGGGGCGCAGCTACCACCATCTATTGACAACCAGGCCAACTAAAGCTTGGCGCGCAAGGCGCACGCACCCCTGCGACTCAGTGCAGGACGAGCTCTCGAGCCGGAGCTGTCGGTCGGCCTCGGTCTCGCTCAGGCGCACGTCGTCCGAGCTGGACGGCGAGCGCAGCCGCAGCGCCGGCTGCTCCAGCTGGCGGATCAGGTCCTCCAGGTTGCGGATGCGGATGGTGGCCTGTCGCGGCAGCGCGTCGGCCGATCCGTCCGGCTCGGAGGAGCCGAGCAGCGACGCCCCCGCCCGAGCCAGTTCAGGATTGGAGCTGAGGGTCAGAGACTTACGCAGCTCGTCCGAGTACGAGGCGGACGAGGTGCCGCGCGTGCTGGCCGCGTTGCGCAGCGCCTCCAGAATGTCCTCGTGGTAGCCGTTGAGCGACTTGAGCGTGCGCTCGACCTCGGTCACCTGTCCGTTGGTGTCCGAGTCGTGGTTGTTGTCTGACTGAGAGAGCGCCTCGGCCGTGTCCGACTGGCTCTCCTCGGCCCACCGGTCGCCGGCCACGCTGCCGTACAGGCTGCCGCTGCCCGCCACCGCCTTCTTCAGGATGCCCTTCTCGGGCGGCTTGCCGACGGCGCTGCCGCGCGGGTCCAGGAAGCCGTCATCGTCATCTGCCGCCGAACGGGGCCTCAGGGGCGCGCTCCCACACAGGCGCGGAGGGAGGGTGGGGCCTCAGTGGCTCACCGGGAGCGCCGTCTTTCTAGGGAAGACGCGAGCCAGACGGGGACGGGGTACGGGCAGGGGCGAATGCAATGGCGATCGCTGAGCTGAACAAAAGCCGTATCACCGAAAACTACGCAAAATACATTGACGTCAAAATATCGGTAGACAAGCAGAAAAAACTTCTACGAACTTTTCATCGGCATTTAAGTACATGACATGATAGGGTCATGCTAATCATTGACTCTAGTGACCAGGCTGGTTGAAGTGAGCAGAGTGGCCGTACGTCCGAGCGGGTACTCACGGCGGGCGCGCCGGTGCCGTCTGCGGACTCTCACCTGGCTCCATGGCGGCGGCCCCGGCCCCGGTCAGCGGCAGGCCGCCGCGCGCCGGCAGACTGGCGTGGCTGCCGCCGTGCGCGCCCGCGTGCAGGCCCGCATGCGAGCCACGGTGGGAGCCGCCGTGCGGCCCGCCGTGGGCCTCGCCGTGGGGCCCGGCGTGGGGCCCGGCGTGCGGCATCCCGTGCAGGGAGCCGCCGTGCTGTCCGACGTGCGCGCCGTGGGCGCCGGGGTGGGCGCCGGGGTGGGCGCCGCCCAGCTGCGCCGACGGGCCGGGCAGCCGGTTGGGCGCCCCGCCGCCGGCGGCAGCGTGCCCGGCCGGAAAGCCGCGCGGGTTCGGACTCTGGCGCGGCTGCTGCGTCTTGTGCTCCCTGGGGAACGACGAACTGCACACAGTGGAACAGTCGGGTCACAGACGGAACCGGGGAACAGCGACGAGCCGCACATAGTGAGGAGGCAGTCGGGCCACAGGCAGGACTGGGGATGGGATCAGTCGGGCCACAGGGAGAACTGGGGAAATAATCAGTCGGGCCACAGGCAGGACTGGGGATGGAATCAGTCGGCTCCCAGGCAGGACTGGGGATGGGATCAGTCGGGCCACAGGCAGGACTGGGGATGGGATCAGTCGGGCCACAGGCAGGACTGGGGATGGGATCAGTCGGGCCACAGGCAGGGCTGGGGATGGGATCAGTCGGACCACAGGCAGGACTGGGGAAATAATCAGTCGGGCCACAGGCAGGACTGGGGATGGAATCAGTCGGCTCACAGGCAGGACTGGGGATGGGATCAGTCGGCTCACAGGCAGGACTGGGGATGGGATCAGTCGGGCCACAGGCAGGACTGGGGATGGGATCAGTCGGGCCACAGGCAGGGCTGGGGATGGGATCAGTCGGACCACAGGCAGGACTGGGGAAATAATCAGTCGGGCCACAGGCAGGACTGGGGATGGGATCAGTCGGCTCACAGGCAGGACTGGGGATGGGATCAGTCGGGCCACAGGCAGGACTGGGGATGGGATCAGTCGGCTCCCAGACGGGACTGGAGATGGGATCAGTCGGGCCACAGACGGGATCGGGAGCGGCGGTGGCGAATAGCACCGCAGGGCTCTGTTATTGTTGAATAACTATTTGTTGTCATGGATTACTGTTGTACGTTCGCGATTACGGAACACCGTTAAGAATTTTACTGTCTGTTGTTACGGATTGCTTCAGGATGAACTTACTGATATTTCGTGACTGCCAGAGGTGAAATTTTCCTAAAATGATTGTGGGTGCCCAGCTGAAGGGGCGCCAGGCCGCTTTGGGGCGCAATGAATATTCTTTATGTGGGAGCCTAAATTAACACCGAATTTGATAACATTGCTAGCCAAAGGGCGCTTCTTAAGTGACATGGCTGACTAAGCAAATACACGACGGTTATAAGTACAAAAAGACCGATAGGGTGTAAAAAATGTAGAGGGGCGCCAAATGTAGGGGCGCCAGACGGTTACGAGGGAGCCATGAGACCATGAAAGGGCGCCATTCTCCTAGAATGGCGCCAAGTGATTGAAAACGCCATGTGGCCCAGGGGCGCTCAGAGGCCAGAAAGGCGCCGCTCCGTCAGTAATACTAAGTTGGTGGGGACGTAGGGGCGCCAGACGGTTACGAGGGCGCCGTGAGACCATGAAAAGGGCGCCATTCTCCTAGGAGGGCGCCGAGTGATTGAACACGCTATGTGGTTCAGGGACGCTAAGACGCCAGAAGGGCGCCGCACGTTCAGTAATGCTAAGTTGGTGGGGACGTAGGGGCGCCAGACGGTTACGAGGGCGCCGTGAGACCATGAAAAGGGCGCCATTCTCCTTGAAGGGCGCCGAGTGATTGAAAACGCTATGTGGTCCAGGGGCGCTGAGAGGCCAGAAGGACGCCGAACAGTCGAGGGATGCACGGTGGAGAGAGACCAAAGGGGCGAGACGATCAAGAGGGCGCCGTTAGACCATGAGAATGGCGCAGTGCTTTCAAAAGGGCGTCATTCTCCCAGAAGGACGCCGAGTGATTAAAAACGCTATATTATCCGAGAACGCGAGACGGTCAGGAGGACGCCGTTAGAGCATGCGAAGGGCGCCGTGCTCTCGAAAGGACGCTTGTAAAACTTGTGGGTGCATTTTCATCATTGTGGGGGCATAATTCACGATTGTGGGTGCATCTGCCCCCACAAAGAGATATAAAATTAGGTACACCCCTGGTGACTGCAGAATTCGCAGTCTTAACCCGCGCGGGGCTGGGGGGGTAAATTTTACCCCCCCTCGCGAATTTTTGCAATATCTCAAAAACGGCGGCGCGCAGCGCCGCCAAACTTTCAGTACCTTTTCTTACATCAATTTGACACGTTCCCTGAAAATTTAAGCGAAATCCGTCGGAAAATTTTTGAGAAATTGACGTTTTAGTGACGTCATGTTCGGCATTTTCGCCTCAAAAACGGCAAAAGTTCAAACGCCGCTAACATCTTCATTTTTAAAGGAATCAAGACGTAACAAAAAAGGATATACGTAATTTTACTTTGTCTATCAAATGGCTATCTCGGTTTTTTGAAAATTTTGGATTTTGGCGCAATTTTTTTCAAAAAACTGACTTTTTTGGGAAAATAGCTATAAAATCCAAAATTTTGAGTGTATCGAAAAAACCGGAATACCTATATGTCAGAGAAGTGGTCTATGTGCACCTACATACCAAGTTTTAGAAGAATCGGTTCAAAAATGTGGGAGTTATTCAAAATTGTATGACGTCACGACACACAAAATTTTTGAAAAATGACTTTTTTGGAAGTTCTAGACCTCGTACGGAAACAAAAATAGCACCATTCGATTCGCCTTGAAAAACTGCATCAGATAGACACCTTTTTAGGCCTTAACAACCAACTTCAAAATTTGACCTCACTTGACCTGACCTTGACCTGACCTCGACCTGAAATTCATCCAGAGGTGGTCCATATCACTTATTGAGTGTGCCTATTGAATTCTATGAGTAAAATGACCCATAAAACATGTGTCGCACATGCCCTTTTCTATATTTTGTTTTTGGTGACCTGACCTGACCTGACCTGACCTTGACCTTGACCTCTGAATGATATTGTATGCAACGAAAATTGTCTTGGTAGCCTAAGAACACGTTTTGGGCGATCAGTCTCAGTCCATGACTCCATTCTTCGGCAACTACGGTGCAAGGCCGATACTGTAGGAACTTGCAATTTGTACCCTTGACCTGACCTTGACCTTGACCTCAAACTTAAAATTAAGTACATGTTTTTAGTTGTTCGTGATGAGATCTTTCGATTGGCGTTTGAATTTTCCAAATCGGACCATTAGTTCGGGAGATAACAGGGGGGGTAAAATTTACCCCCCCCCCCAGCCCCGCGCGTTCGGCTGGAGACCCCAGCCCCGCGCGGGTTAAGACTGCAATGACGTATCCATGAATTAAACATGCTGCACATTTTAGATTGAAAAGACCAATTATACCTTTGAGTATCCAATAACCTACCGCTAGTACCTAACATTTGGAGATGCCCTAATTAGGCGGAGAATGCATAAAAACAAACAAACAAACAACATCCTCCGCTGCAGCCGTCCATGATAAGGAGGCAGTATGTCTCAATGTTTGTTGTTTTGATATCGAAGGAATAGTCTGTAAGCTGGCCTGTTTTGCTCTCTATGTCCCATAGTTTCCTGAAGTGTTCCGTTTCTGCCAGGCAGCGGAGAGTTTACAAGGACCATACGTCACCGAAAAACAGCAGTCGGGAAGGGCTGCCTGCTAAGGAGGAGCATGATGGCCGCTCGTCAGCGCTGCCGTTTACCGTCTGTCTTCAGATTACTGCCGTGTTCATGGAGCAATGAAATCCCACATCAAAGAAATCATGCGGCCCAAGTTATACGAGGGGTGGTTTAGTATGACTGAATCATTTCATTTGTTATTTCGTTAGATTTGGAAAAGACGCTTACTTCTTCCCCGCCGCTTCTCAGACATTTGACGCAGGAAAATGGATAGGATGGAATCAGGAAACATTCTGCACGAGCAAAATATCGCTCGCTTTTATAGTAGGGTAAGGTGCCTAATTAGCGACCCTTTCCGATTTGCGACCTACCTCCCTACAGAAAAACTGACAGGAGAAAACGGGGTAAAAACATTGTCAAAAGATCAGCCATAGTTTGGTTATCATATTGAATTATTTTCCGGTCGTCGATGTTTCTGGTGGGACGTTTCAGGTGAGCTTGAATTAAAATGACGAGTTTCTTATCCAAAACGTGTGTATTTGGGCCCTCTCTGATGAAAAGCGATGCACATTAGGATGATGTACCTTTTTTATTCTGAATCGACAATCCTTTTTCAATTGATTGCCGTTTTCCCATAGTGTATCGCTTAACTGTGCACTGCATGGCGGTTAAAAATGTGTTGCAACTCATATTTCCTATTTGCGCCCGACATGGTCGCAAATAGCTCAAGAAGGGAAAGAAAGGGAAAAGGGAGAAATGAAAATGAGGTGTTGCTGAAGCTTGCAATGTGTGGCAGGGGATGCCAAGTGTCGTCACCGACTGGAGGGGTGCCGAATCCAGTGCGGACATCGAATATCATACGAGATAGCCCGCAGCATTTGGGTTTTCGCCTTCTTTTCGCCTTTGGTGCATCACGTGATCAGTTTTTACTTATGTAAACGTGTTGGATAAGCGTTCCTGTTAGAATGATTTAGTGCTTTGCGTATAGGTTACCTTTTTGGGATCATATTTAATCTTTTCAGGCGTCGCATTTTTTGCCATTTTTAATGTGGGAAAACCCATAGACTTATTAGCGACCCTCCGTCGCTAATCGGGAAGAGTTCCCTATTAGCGTTTTTTTTTGCAATGGTTTGCCAAATTGCTCTTTATCAAATAAATTAGTGGATATTGGGGCAGAAAATGGCTATATTTTAATAGAAAATGAGCGATCTCTCCCAAAATCAAACCAGTAATACAGTGCCACCCATAGAGCGTTAACAATGACGGCTCAAATTAAGTGGGTCGCTAATTAGGCACCTTACCCTAAAGCGAATATCTAAAAATAAAGTTGATACCTTAAACATTCCTATCGAGTGCTTTTTTGTTCAGTTACAAATGGTTTCCTACATCAGCTAAATGCCTGCTCAAGAACCCCAGCACACGATCTTAGCTTCACATAAACACTCCGTAGGTAATACTTAGGCATCTAGTTATCTAGTCTAAAGGATTGCGAGTTGCGACACTGGTACCGATGGGCTGATTCCGTCCAGCATTGATTCAGATTCTTACTTGGCTTGCTACGTTAGAAGTCGTAAAATTTAAACGTGTATGGGCAAATACGGTAAACTAATCCCAAATCCCTACCTATCCTAACACTCCTAATCCTAATCGTTTTCTTCAGTCAAAGGCATCTAAACATGTTTGAAATGTGGACCTGCGTATCACCCTAGTTAGCAATTAATGCACCAAATATTCAAAATCAAAATAAGGGTACGGTAATTTTTTTTAGAACATTAAGAAAATGAATGTAACATTTGAAATACATTATTTTTAATGAACCTTTTAATAGCAGCACATTGACAAAAGCCGTTAATTAACGGGAGAGAATATGACATCATGAATTCCCTATAGTATTGATCATTGCACGTCATGCCGTGACTGTGTCTGGCCATCCTGTGGTGGGTAGGTAGGTCAGACAGGTATTCGGATATGTTTTCTGCGCGTGGGTGCGGCAGTGACAGCGATCTGGCCGTGGCGCAGTTCCCACGACCCGGCCTGGTTCGATACCCCCCCCCCCCACCCAGCCCTCCTCCGTGTGTCGGACGGCGCTCCTTTGTGTAATGGTGTCCGGTCGGCAGCGGTCCCGGCAGATAGTGTCGGAGCTCGGCGGCGCAGGGGCGCGCCCACGGTACTGGCCGGCGGAGGACGGGGGCCCTGACTAACGGAGGACTGAGGCGCGCCCCCGGTACTGCATGGCCGGCGGAGGACGGGGGCCCTGACTAACGGAGGACTGAGGCGCGCCCTCGGTACTGGCCGGCGGAGGACGGGGGCCCTAACTAACAGAGGACAGGAGTTCAGACCGGCGGAGGACACTGCAGACAGGGACGCCGACCAGCGGAGGACAGGGGCTCAGACCGGCTGAGGACAGGGGCTCAGACCAGCGGAGGACAGGGACAGGGGCTCAGACCGGCGGAGGACAGGGCCGCCGACCGGCGGAGGACAGGAGCGCCGACCGGCGGAGGACAGCGGCTCAGACCGGCAGAGGACAGGGGCCCAGAGCGGCGGAGGACAGGCCGTCAGCTATTGATGGGGAGGCCAAACGGCGGCAGTAGGTCAGGACAGTAGGGCAGGCGCACAGGACGGACATATTGTACGAGACATTTGAGACGCCCGTTCAGCTTGTGTACCGCTGTATGACTCAGCGTGGTGGACTAGTTGGGTCTGTGTTTGGCAGCTGAGACACTTACCTATAGCTGGGCATCGACCCGAAGGTGATCATGCGGCTGGCCTCGAGGTCCTCGGCGCTGCTCGAGCTGCGGTTGTTGAGCGGCAGGGCCAGCGACGGGTAGCCCTGCTTGTTGCCCAGGTGCTGCCCGTATTTGGGCGTGGTGCTGCGACGCCTGCGGGTCACCGCGCGGCCGCCGTCAGCACCAGACAACACACCGGACAGGGGACATACCAGTCACCGCGCGGCCGCCGTCAGCACCAGACAACATACCGGACAGGGGACATACCCACGACATTCGATATAAAACAGCACCAGACAACATACCGGACAGGGGACATACAACATACAATAGCACCAGACAAAATAGCGGACAGGGGACAGACACATCGGAACATACGTCATACAGTCAGCGTCAATGTCTCCCAGGTACTTCAATGAATTTATGCAGATAATATTGGAGAAAGAGATAGTTGTTTCTGCCTTCTTCGTTCTTTAAAAGTGGTAAAGGTGCACAAATAATGCGGCCTCAGCCCTCAATAATAAACTTATGACTGATATCAACATGCGCACGTGGCGGACCATACCCTGCGTGTGATTCGCCACACGCATTTCTAGATTCAAACCCGGGCCAGCGTGCTGGTCCGATCGTAGCAAATCGAGCCAAGGGAGGAAAGGCAAGAGGCGTTTCGACAGTTCCGTGGCATTTCGGGCAATTGCCCCTCTCGCAACTTCCGAGAACGACGAGCAATGGCCGCTTTCTTCAAACAGAAAGAAAACTAAATGACTTTAAAGAAAAGGTTTGCTTCACCGGAAGGCTGGAATGCCCTGAAATAACTAATTTCTGATTCGGCTTACATATGTCATGAATGTCGTTTATTTTCCCGGATAGTTTTTTTCGGTCCTAACACGCTTTGCAATAAACAAGGAAATGACACTAAACTGCGACTTTTTGGACATTTAACCTATATCGAAACAAGCAAGTTGGAGGTCGGGTGCAGCATCCATCAGTAATTGCCTAAAACAGACGTAATTTAATGATTAAACTATGACACTAATAAGGCGTAAATGTTTAAAGAACAACATGCGGGCATTTTTAATCAACTGTAACGGCTTTGCATCAAAGTAACAGATGGCTTATATCCAGTGGCAGTGAATGACAGTGACAGCGGAGTGGGACAATCAGTTAGTGACAGTGAAGTCGGGACCTGAGCCGCTGACAGCGGAGTCGGGAACTGAGCCGCTGACAGCGGAGTCGAAATATCAGCCGCTGACAGCGGAGTCGGAAAAGGAGAGTCGGGAGGTGAGCCGCTGACAGCGGAGTCGGGAAATCAGCCGGTGACGGCGGAGTCGGAAAAGGAGAGTCGGGAGCTGAGCCGGTGACAATGAAGTCGGGAACTGAGTCGCTGACAGCGGAGTCGGAAAATGAGCCACTGACAGCGGAGTCGGGAGTTGAGCCGCTGACAGGGGAGTCAGAAAATGAGGAGAGGCGGCGCAACGCCGAACTGGACGGTGTTAAAAGCCTCCTTTTTATCATGTCACGATAAGCTGAGTACAAAATATTTTATCTCAAACACAGCATCAAACATTAGAATAACGTCACAATTTTAGCCGAACGAAAGATGGGTACTATTAAGGAAAAATGCAAGCAAACATGCGCGTCAGCCATGCAACCATGCGAGTGTGAAGCAAATGAAAATGAGCCACTAGGGAAAAAGTGTTTCTCATGCTGACGGCCACCACCGAAGTACGCACAGCCCGCGGCAAGGTCGGCCACTCACAAGCACAGAGTCCTCGCTGCTGGGTCAAAATCACCTTCCGAGTCCAAAAATTCAGAGGCTGCCCCAGCCATTGTGGTGCATTCCTTGCAGGACGGTGCTGTCAGAGTACCGCTCGAAAAGTCCTCTAGTGAAAATATGTGGCCTCCGAGGGCCAGTCGGCAGTGACATGATGAAAATTTTGTGATCAAGAGATGATGCTAGCAAACTGAAATCGCCAGCGCACCGGTGGCACGTCCAGGAACTGACTGTGGCCCAAAGCAGCCGCAATTAGACAAATTAATGTAGGTACTAAATAGTACTCAAATAAAGGGCTTCAAACAAAGAGCCTTCAACATTGTCAAAACAACTTCAAAATTCAATATTTCAAAGCTCATTATCCGCCACAGCCCGATCGAGTGTGGCCCCGTCGTATCGCTCGCGCTGTCGTTGCGATACTGGCGGGAGTCGCTCAGTTTCACAAGGACAGCCGAGGGAGGACGAGCGAGTGGCGGCGTCCGGACGGCCGCCGGCGCGCGGCGTCAAGTGCATCAATTTATTGCAAGGCGACCGATGCAGAGCGGTGACATCTGTGGTTGTGAACGTGTACTAACCTGCCGCCCAATCCGACTGCAACTGACCTGTAGCACAGTGCAACAAAGGTGAAGAAGAGAAAGATCAGGCCTACCAGTGACACCAGCATTATCACCAAATGCAGCGTGGAACTGCCATCGTTTTTCACTGCGGCAGAGACAGAACAGGCAGGGTCAATGCACGCCGCCGGCGCCATCTAGCGGAGACACACGAGCACACAGTTTCCGAGCGCGGCCGCCAGGTGGCAGGGGGCGGGGCGGGCGCCCGGCCGGGTCACGGGGCGGTGCGCCACGGAGGACGGCCGGCCCTGGGCGCGGCCATGCTGCGGGGGCTGACCGGCGCCGCCGGCCGTCGAGCTCTACCGTCACACCAAGCGGGCCGGGGCCGGGGCCGGGGCCGGGCGCGGCCGACGCATGCGCCGGGCGCTCGGCACATCCAGGGCACAGCGGCAGGGGTACACCGACGGCGCGCCGCGGCGGTACCTGTAACACATTGCCACCAGAGCGAACAGGATAAAGATGCAGCCGACCAGCGTCACCAGCAGCACCACCAGCCAGAGCGTCTTCATGGCCGCCGACGACTTCACTGCAACAGGCGCCCGCAGCGTGAGTGGGGCAGGACCGAGAACCGAACCAGAGACAGGACCAGAGACCGGAACAGAGACCGGACCAGAGACCGGATCATAGACCGGACCAGAGGCCGGATCATAGTGCAGACCATAGTGCAGACCATAGACCGGACCAAAGAACGGATAGACCGGACGAGAGACCGGACCGTGAACCGGACCGTGAACCGGACCGTGAACCGGACCGTGAACCGGATTGTGGACCGGACCGTGAACCGGTGTGTGGAACGGCAACTGCTCCGGCCAACCCACGATAAGGTGAGCCCGCCGGGGAACCGACTAGGAAGCGTGGACAGTGGGCACAGCAACCCCTCCGTCGTCCGAGACAGCAGCGGCTTTGGCCGACAGCACAGCCGTGAGCCGCCAGCCGTGTGTCGCAGTGTGTCGCACTTCAAGGACGGTATTGGCGAGTAAATAGGCACTTACAGGCGGGACTAGGGATCCTGCTCCGGCCTCCTAAATCGTACAGTGTGCTGTGTGATTACTGGAGAAGCTTATTAGGTACTCTAAAAAGCTCCGTGCTACAAAAATATAACGGGGAACCTTCTAATTTAACCCCACATGCTCAGCGGAGTCCGCGATCAGTGGCTGTGCTGAGCGGCGTGTCCAACAGCCGAGCGCTGCCGCTGGGTCCCGCTCCACGCCGCTGCCACTGCAGTGGGACCGGTGGCGTGGGTCCGCTGCCGCTGGGTCCCGCTGCACGCCGCCGCTGGGCCCGGCTCCACGCCGCCGCTGGGTCCGGCTCCACGCCGCTGCCACTGCAGTGGGACCGGCGCACAGTGGGCCGGGCGGCCGCCAGGAGCGCTGGAAATTATTTGCGCTCGAGTTATCGTTCAACTGACTGTGAAAACATTTCATTTACAACGTTTAGCGAGATACCACACCAATAAGATGTAAATTCAAGACTTCTAATACCATGCATGCATGCATGTTGCAATTTGCATACACTGCACTTAGTTTACTGAGGAGTTCAAAAGGCGTCATTCCTGGTAAGATTTTAACACACTTCCCGGCACTCACAGTTTCTCCATTAATGACCGACACATGAATTGGTCAAGGATACAATCTTCTCTCTCTCTCTCTCTCTCTCTCTCTCTCTCTCTCTCTCTCTCTCTCTCTCTCTCTCTCTCGCTCTTC